CCAAAGCCAAATAGACGAGATTTCTACAAAATGGAATTATCTTAATATAATTAATAGTAATATCATATATCCTTCATTAGGTCCTTGATGGCCTTTGCAGCAAACCTCTTCCTTTCTTGGTCAGGTAAGTCTGCTCCCATCTCCTTTATAGCCTGCACTCTCAACATTAGTCCTTCGAGTTGTTCGACTTGAAGGCTGTCATCCCCCATCTCCTTAAACTCTTCGTCGATGTCGTCATTATCCATATTGTTGTTAATTGCAAGCCGAAGGCCAGCCATCTCCCTCTCGAGCTCATTAGCTTCTAGTGTAAACCCTCCAGTAGATTCCTGATCTCCACGTAAGCTAAGAGACTCCAAATCTTGCTCAACTTCGTCTGAGCTTGAAGATGACCATTGATGGGTTTCTAACACTTCCTGCACCCTTGCAATGCCCATAAGTTCTAGATGGCAAAGTCAGCTAGTCGTAGTTGAATACCTAAGAGAATTGAGATGTTACCTCCAAATTCATTTCTCGCTGAGGGTTCCGGGCTAGCTGCTTTATGATCCCAAAAGACTACTTCAAGTCCAGAGCCAGCTCCTAGGTCACTCAACTGTTCGTCCCACCATAATGCCCCATACTCTGATGAAGCATTACCTGCAGCAAGGGGTCCATTTTCACATTCGTCCCCCACTAACACAATCAACCCGGGGATATCGCCTATTTCGCCTCTCTCTTCCTCAGCCTGTGCTTTGACTTCTATAACTGCACGGGCAAGGTCTTTAATCCTGCCTACCGCGCGTTGGAAAACAGCACTACTGTCGTTTTCATTCCCGTCCAGCACGTTATCCTTTACTAAAGCCGGGTCAGGAGGTTTCGGTCTCTGCATACACAGTATTATTGCGCCTATAGCATCCCTAACCTCTCGCGCTTCTTCGCTGGCGAATTCCTTTCTCCAAGCTTCCGGGGAGCCCGCATCCTCCTCCTCCGCCGATGGCAAGGCAAGATCCGGTGAAGGTATTAAAGAAAGTGATGGAACTTCATCGACCCATAGTGGTATTTCCGCGCTATAATATGTTGTATTTAGTTGTAACGGTGTGTGCGCGGTGTATCCTGCAAATGATGCCGGAGGTGGGGTAGTAGATGTAGATGCGACGTCTGAGATGTCGATTGTCGCATCACGGTCTAGCATACAGTTTAGAATAGATTCTCGGGCTTCAAACCGGGTAGTTGTCAGTATGAGTCTGCTTACCGGCTTGTTTCGTGTCTGACTGCCGTGAGGGGAGGACGGGGAGCTGGCCGGTCAAGCGAGTGAGAAATGGTGGGATAACAGCGTGAGATTCCGTACTTGGAGCAAGAATCAGGAGCCGGCGAGGGTTCAAAATGTGCTTGACCTTGCTCTTTGCCTCCTCCGGCTGTTCCAGGGGCAAAGACATGGTGGATTGTATCAGGATCCTATATATGCCTGGGGTTGTTGATTTTGCGATTGAGAAAGCATGTATATATGGATATGTTCAAAATCGCACGACTTGATATGATGAAACAGGCCAGTCCGGCGTAAAAACAGCCACATAATAGACTTTTTGTAATGACATTGATCTTAGGGCCATCAGATGAATATATATGCTATTCTGAACTTCCTGATTAAAACCTCTATTTGTTTCCTTGACGTGGCTGGAAATTGCCCAGCCTGACAGACCTGCATGACTAGATAAGAATTAAAAAGCCGTTACATCAAGTATATTTTGTTCAGCAATAGTGTTCGCAAACAAACAGGAAAGAGAATGATCGAATGTAATAAAACGCCAGCCCAGGAACTTCATTTATATCGTTGGATCCTTAACCTCTTCGCTGCCCTCTTGCCCTGTTGACAGTTGCCCTGCCTCTAGCCAAACCAACACCTCGTCCTCGCTGGCCTCTGGATCGGAACATTGGAGCATTTCTGTGGAGAGGCAAAGATAGGTTAGTTATAATAAGAGTAGAGAAGGCTCGCGTGGAGTAGTCAATAACGGGCATACCTTAACATATCGGGTACAATAAAGAATTTGACATGACTTCCGCGGATATACACCTGGTCTAGATGCGACACACGACCATCTCGCGCTGTAACGGTGATATCCTTGAGTTGTACGTTCATATTGTCCTCGGCTATAGCAAGACTGTCAGCGAGAAATTCGAGCAGTGTTGAGTGAATATCTATAATATAAGGAGGATATAGGCCGAGTCGCGTTAAAGAAAGGTCTGCGCGCACCTTCAAGAAGTTTCCCTCTGTAGACATGACCGGATGTGATCTCGAGGGTGACAACGTGACCCTGCAATTAGACGATGGTTAGCCATTTGAACCCCCACTGGCAAGTAAGCGCAGATAGAAAACACAGGGTTGGTCGCAACGCCCTTATCGCGCCCTCTTGAAGGGAGAAACCGACCTGTGCTTCATTAAGAAGTTTGATAGGAATGCCGATGGTACTGGTCAATTTACCCATGGTGGTTGATGTTACGGAGGCTTGAGTAAAAAAGGAAGAGAAAGTAAAGCCCGCGGAGTATAAAATTCAATCGAGCAAGGGCAGTAACGTCAGGCGGGATCGTATGTCCGGGCCAAAGAGCGCGCGCGTCAAAGGTGATTTTTTCCTCGGTCACTCAGTCTTCCTGGCTGATCTTTTTTGGTGATTTTGATATCGAAAGGAAAAAAGAGAAAGTTTGCTTGGTTTGAGCTCCACGCACGGGCCACCATGGGAAGTTATGACTTCACAAGCTCTCATTATTACGGAGAAAGCAGCCATAACAACCACCAGCTGGATGGCGACAAATACGGCAGCAAATCCAATACCCATTTGATACCTCCTTTTTCAATTCACGTCGACAAGACATTACAAGAACTAGACTGCAAGATTAAACTACAGCGGAAGCAAAAATTCAGAGAACCAACAATGCCACTGTTCAACACCAACTTCGCCGGTTTCAGCCTGACAGTGTCAACACTCATGCGCAATCCGTCGCTTCTGATACCGCATCTCACCATTCCGACCTTTTTGCAGCTACCGGAGGATCTATCCTATCATTTAATTGACTCCGTTGCCCCAGAGGCAGCCGGGGCCAGGCCACCCACCATTCGGGCCCTGGTGATTGACAAAGATAACACCTTAACACCACCTCATAAGACCACTTTCCCGACAGAATACTATGACAAACTGAAACAATTACGGACCAGCGAGTCCTCGCCTTTTAATATGCATACTAACCCGGACGGTATCCTGATCGTTTCCAACACCGCTGGCTCTAATCCTCGGAGTAAGCGGTACGAGGAGGACGCGCGGAAGTTAGAAGAGTATTTGGGAAAGTTGAATATCAAGGTGTTTAGGTCTCCGGCTGGGGCGTCGGCGGTGAAGAAGCCGTTATCGTATGCGGCGGTTTTGGAGTACCTGAAGGGGAATGGGGTGGTGAATAGGGCGGATGAGGTTGCTGTGGTTGGTGACCGGGTGGGAACGGATGTCCTTATGGCTTCATTGATGGGATCATGGAGCATTTGGACGAGGGATGGGGTGACGCAGGATATGAAGGGGAGAGAGGGGAAGAACTACCGTGGTACCCTGGCGGGCGTGGAGAGGTATTTGGTGAGAAAGCTGCAGCGGAGCGGAGTCGTAGCTACTCTACCGAAGTCATGGCAACATCTTTAGGGGTGTGTGGTGATTTAATTCTGAATAATTGAATAGAAGAGGTAGCAGGGCCTAGATGGTCTGGGGCCTGGGGCCTGGCGTTTTACGGGGGTTTTTTTGCTTTGTGGGGATTATTGGACCGTTAAGACAGATGGTAATGGTATGGATAATGTAACAATAAGAAGCTATAATATCACATTGAAAACACTCCTGAGAGAATCCGAGAAATACAAGGAAAAGCGGTGTAAGTGTTCCTAGCTAAGTATATCCATGGCATCTCGAGCACACGCATAGATACAAAGCATGGGCTAAGGGAAGTCGGGGTCGGTCATGAGACGGGTACGTAACAAGCTCCAAAGATGGTAACGATAGGCGCAAGGGGAGTAAACGAGATAGCTTTTTTCTTTGTTTTTGTTCATTCTGGCTTCCTCCCAGTACCAATTGGCAAACGGTTCCTTGCCCGTGCTCATGGTAATTAGAAAGCAAAAGTTAAGAAGGTAAGGGTAGTTGGGTGAAATAAATAAGAGACAACGTCGATTGGGCATCATTAATTCCCATAGAAAGAAAAATGCAAAGAAGGGCAAGGAGGACAGGGGAGAAGGGTAAGGTAAAAAAAAAAGGAAGCGGAGAATGTTGCCGTGGAAGGAGGTTATATATAACGGGTTGTAGGCAGCAAGGCGCAGGGGGGCTCATAAAAGTCAATAAGGAGTAAAACACACAAGAAAGGAAGTGGAAAAGAAAAGGAAGAAAAAAAAAGTAAAAAGGGGTTTAAGAAGGGAATTCGAAAAAAAAAGATTGCACTGCAAATAGGTGACTGCACCGCAACGTAAGGAATAAATAAGCTGAGATAAAACGGGGTCATCTACAGGCCCGGCCGTAGTCTCAAGAAGTGAATATAAGTCGAGAAAAAAATATGGCAGATAATGCCAAATATAGAACAAGTAAATGGCTGAACTGAGTTGGATAGGAATATAAAAATGAACAAAACCAACTCAACCAAGAAGCGGGTAAGTGAATACCCAAAGAGGGTAGGGGAATCAAGACTGTCTGGAGAGGAGGGATCGGTTTAAACCAAACGGTTTTACCCATTGCATAAAAACCTATTCACACATCCTGCTCCAGGTCTGTACACCGAGTAGAACGCTCCTTGGCTTCTCTCAAGATTCAGCAGCAAGGGTGCTTGGATCGACCGTACCGCTGTCAAATCCCATACCCATCATGCCGTGACCATGTCCTCTCATACCCTGGAAAGTCATTGCAAATGACTCCTCCATTTCCATGCCTGGAGAGGCAATGGAGCTGCTACATCCGAGATTCTGCTTCGCATATAGATCGCTGAGGATGATTCCGTCATCGACACCAGTGGATGTGACGGTTGAGGCGAACATGTTGGTTGGAGAGGAGCGTTGGGTAGCAGTTAAGGGAGGTGAGTGGCCGTTAGAAGAAGCTGCTTGGGCCTGATGCTGGTGGGCCATGCTGTGGGGGTCAGAGTCGATGTCGATGTCAACTGCTGGTGAAGGGGAGAGGAAAGGTAAGCTGAACGGTGTTCCCAGGGATTGAGGCTGATCTGGTGCGCTGCTAAAGAGCGGGGTTGATACAAAGTCCGTGGCGGGAGTAGACGTGGCAGCCGCAGAGGTTGCAGAGGCAGGATACATGCTGAATGATGGCGGTGGCTGGGTTGCAGATGTATCTATGTGGAGATCAGGTTCACTCATGTTCAGGGGGAGTTGAAATTGTGAGTGTGCAAGGGGAACAGGAGCGAAGATGTCTGGCTGCTGATGCTCCTGGTGCTGTGGAGTGCTTGGCTGGAAAGGATTGGCGGACTGGAAGTGGAAAGCCGGCATGGCATGCAGGGCAGCGAAGTCGACAGGCCCAGGAACGGATCTGCTGCGCTGGCGTTTGTGACCTCTGTTGGGGTGTAGGCCTACAGACAAATGGTTGTCCACAGAGAGCCGGTTCTGGGCTCGCGAGAGATGGTTTGGCTGCGAGGCAGGGCGATGGAGATGCACAAACTGTGGAGAGCCATCAATAAAGGGGGTGTTTGGCGTGAAGGGGTATGCTGGAACATGGCGGTTCTGGAACGTTTCGAGTGAGACAAGCTTGGCTAGTTGGACACTCAAGACCTTGGGATGGCCTCCAAGATGATGGATCAGCGACTTGGTGGCCTGCTGTTCCTCCGTGAAATCGCCGCACTGGTAGAATCCGCCCGAGTTGGAAGAATCCATATAGAAGTTTGGCGGACGGTTTAGTTCGATGACTAAGCCGCCTGATCGGGGAATGGCGCCGTCCATTGGCGGAACAGGGTCACCGGGCTCGAGGATGATATTCTTAATGCTTGAAAAGGGGTACTCGATCTTGTAACCAGCGGAGTCGTTGTTTATGTAGTAAGTCATGCATGCCTGGTCTGGGGAGTAGAAGATGACCAGGTCCATGGTATTTTGGCCAACACGCCGCCAGGTGCCAATGCGAAGAGAGCGGCACGCAAAATGCTGGATCACTACAATTTGTTAGTTGAAAGGTGAGAAGAAGAAGAAAAAAAAAAAAAAAAAAAAACGGGACCGGGTAAATGTACGTACCAACTTTGGACGAGGTGGCGGATTGCATCATGGGCTCGTTCGAAGGATAGCCCCCCGCACGGCCTAGCATGTTTCGCGCATTCGAACCGGCAGGATCTAGCTGGAGTGCAAGGTATCTTCGCATCGACTCCGGGACGGCATCACAGTCTTCTCCGGTCTCGATACCTCGTTTAGCAATCATTTTGATCTTAGCGCGCCTAAAGACAAGCAACGATAAAAAAAAATTAGTATACTTTGGTGCCTGAAGACGCTGAGCCAATAGAAGCAATATTAAGTTTAGCGTACCTGTTCTGGAACCAGATCTGCACCGAACGCTCGGTCATGTTGATATCTTCCGCGATCTGCTCTCTGACGGCGGCGGTGGGAGTGGGATTCTTCTTGAATTCCATCTCGAGGGTGACGAGTTGGTCCTGGGTGGCGCGCTGGCGCTTGTGGTTCTTTTGCTGCTGAGTCAAGGTGCTCTTGCGAGGAGGACGGCGGGAGGCGGGGCGAGCAGCAGGACTATCACTTGAAGTGGCGTTCGCACTGGCCATAGAGGCTGAAGTAGCGGCCGTGCTTGTAGATGTGGCGGCTGTAGCGGACGATGTGGTGGTTGTGGTAGAAGACGCCTGGGAGGTGGCTGTTGGAGGAGGCGTGGCTAACGACATGGTATCTGTGGGAGTAGAGACGCCAGCAGGCGTAGCAAGGGGAGCATCGGACATGATTGATATGCTATTGGGAGTAGCAGTAGTAGCAGTGGAAGATGTTTCCATGCCGTCAAATCATGCGTCACTCGGCGGATAGGGATGAAAAGGGAAAAAGAACCGGAATCAGATAGAAAGGCCGGGTATGAGAAGTAGAAGTAGAAGCAAGCAAGGACGTCTTTCGTCTCTTATGCGAAGGATCGTCGCGAGCCAGTCGACAGGCAGTGGGTGATGATCGTGAAAGTCGTAGAAACACCCGAAACGTCAAGTTCGAGGTAAATAAATAAAGGGCAAAAAAAAAAAAAAAAAAATAAATGAGCGAAAAGCAGCACCAAGAGTACCGGCTGGCGCGCGCAGTAGAGTGTAGACCTCTTCTCTAGGTGAAGTATCCAGACATCGACGAGAGGTGTAAGGAGCGTGGTGTATGTAAAAGGAGCGGGTGTATATTTCTGTGCTTGTGCTTGTGGTGGTGGTGGTTGGCTGGAGGAAGGGCGTCAATGGCCGGATGGGACTTTTTTTTGGTGTCTCAGACGGCTTCGAGTCGAGACAGGACGACGGCGGAAAGGGAAAGGCAGAGAATGGATGTAGCTCAAGCTGGTTGATCTGGTCGAAGAAGAGTCAAGAAGGAAAGAAAGAAGCGAAAGAAGTGGT